ACTTTTTGAGATGTTTCTAAGCCATCTTCATTTCTCCCTTTAGGAGCTCTCTGTTTAGATCTTTAGCCCATCTTTTAATTCAGTCATTTGATTTCTTGCTTCTTTGTTTTTTTGAGTCCTTTATATATTCTGGATGTTAGACCTCTTTCAAATGTATCACTGGTGAAGATTTTTTCCCTATTCTGTGGGTTTTCAATTCACTTTTTTGATTGTTTCTTCTGCTGTACAGACGCTTTTTAGTTTAATGAGGTCCCACTTGTTGATTGCTGACCTTAATTCCTGAGCAACTTCTGTCTGATTTAGAAAATCCTTTCCTACACCTAAATCCTGTAAGTTACTGCCACTACATTTTTCTAATAGTTTCAGGGTTTCCAGTTTCACATTGAGGTCTTTGATCCATTTGGAGTCAACTTTTGTGCAAGGAGAAAGACAAAGATCTAGTTTCATTCTTCTACAGGTGGAGATCCAGTTTTGCCAACACCGTTTGTTGAAGATGCTCTCTTTCCTCCATTGTGTGTTCTTGGCACCTTTGTCAAATATCAGGTGGCTGAAATTACGTGTACTCAGGTTTGGATCTTCAATAATATTCCATTGAGCTATGTGTCTGTTTTTGTGCCAGTATCATGCTGTTTTTATGACTATGGCTCTGTAGTTTACTTTGAGATCTGGTATAGTAATCCCACCAACATTGCTCTTTGTACTCATGGTTACTTTGGTTGTCTGGGGTCTTTTGTGCCTCCATATGAATTTAAGGGTGCATTTTTCTAAATCTGTGAAGTATGTCATGGGGATTTTAGTTGGGATTGCATTGAATCTATATATTGTTTTTGGTAGGATGGTCATTTTAACAATATTAATTCTTCCATTCCACGAGCATGGGAGGTCCTTCCATCTCCTGGTGTCTTCCTTAATCTTTTTCTTTAAAGATTTAAAATGTTCAATGTAGAGATCTTTGATGTCTTTGGTCAGGTTTATTCAAAGATATTTTATTCTTTCGCAGCTATTGTGAAAGGGAGTGTTTCCAATTGTAACCTGCCACTATACTGAAATTGTTGATCAGTTCTACAAGTTTTCTAGTGGAACTTTTGGGATCTCTTAGGTATAGTATCGTATCATCTAATAGAGATAATTTGACCTCTTCTTTTCCAATTGTACTTTTCATTTCCTTCTCATGTCTTATTGCTCTAGCAAGGGTTTCAAGCACAACATTGAAAAGAAGTGAAG